AAAAGCAATCTGATAGTATATTGATGGGAATGATCCAGTACTGAGGGAAGGCAATGATGGTAAAGGGAAAATTGTTGGAAACAACCTAAATAAGCTGATGCCTTTTTAATTCCTTTTTTCATTTTAGTAGGATTTTTAGGAGGAATAGTCTGTTATTTTAACCAGAAGTTCCCTTTCTTCTTAATACTTAAGCATTCCCATATAAGAATATGAGTTTCAGTCTCCATCTTACAATGAAGATACCAAGGCCCTAGGTTATACAGTGGAGGAGCTGTATTTCATATTCACTTACCCATTGTCTTTCAGGTCAAGCTTCAAGTGATTTTCCTGCCTCAGCCTCCTGAGTAGCTGGGACTACAGGCATGTCCCACCATGCCTGGCTAATTTTTTATATTTTTAGTAAAGATGGGATTACAGGTGCCCGTCACCATGACTGGCTAAATTTTGTTATTTTTAGTAGACGGGGTTTTGCCATGTTGGTCAGGCTGGTCTTGATTGAACTCCTGACCTCAAATGATCTGCCCACCTCGGCCTCTCAAAGTGCTGGGATTACAGGCGGGAGCCATCGTGCCCAGTAGAACTAGTCTTTCTTTAAATCACTAACCTCAAATTTGGAAACTATGTTCAGTAAAAATCAAGGATATCTTATGTGAAATTATAGCAAAAGTGATCAAGTACAACCTTAATTGATCTTAGCTCTCAGATAGCACTGTTTCTTGGTATAACTGTCCCTTTACTACATAATTTTGTGGTTTGTTTGAAAATATAGTGGACCCAGAATACATGCATTATGAAAACAAAAGGACCTAGTAAATCAGATGGTGTTTCCTGTTATGGCAGCAATTGGCTTTAAGGATTTTTGAGACCACAGCAACTAAATCAGGATTGCATTTGACCTGTATTTACCAGGAGGAAATGGAGGATCTGAGTCAGTTATAATATAGTTGGTACCAGGTTATATGAAGAAATTTGGAAATGATGTGCTTATGTCAGGATGTTAAAAGTAAGAGTGGAATCATAGCACCTTAGTAATACATTAGGAATTCACAGAAAGGGAAGATTATTTTCCATAAATAAACTGAAGTTCTACATAAGAATACCTTACCTGTACAGTCTTTCATACCACTTTCCAATAATATTTATTGAACACATATTATATGTCAGACTGAGGAAACAACTCTAAGATTTCATAGAGCTTACAGTTCAGAATACAATTAATAGCATCCTCTGTAAAGTCACAGGGCAGGGATTATGATTTTTTTTTTTCTGAGACAGGGTCTCACTCTGTTGCCTAGGCTGGAGTGCAGTGGTAAGATCTTGGCTCACTGCAGCCTTGACCACCCGGGCCCAGGAGATCCTCCTACCCCAGCTTCCCGAGTAGCTGGGACTACAGGTGTGTGTCACCATGCCTGGCTAATTTTTATTTATTTTTTGAGATGGAGTCTCACTCTGTAAACCGGCTGGAGTGCAGTGGCATGATATCGGCTCACTGCAACCTACCTCCTGGGTTCAAGCAATTCTCCAGCCTCAGCCTCCCGAGTAGCTGAGATTACAGGCGCCCACCCTGATGCCCAGCTAAATTTTGTATTTTAATAGAGATGGGGTTTCACCATGTTAGCCCAGCTGATCTCGAACTCCTGACCTCAAAGTGATCCAGCTGCCTTGGCCTCCCAAAGCGCCGTGATTATAGGCGGAAGTTGCGGTGAGCTGAGACTGTGGCGCTGCACTCCAGCCGGGGCAAAAGAGTGAGACTCCATCTCAAAAAACAACAACAAAAAAAATATGAATGAAATTGGATTAAGGCCTGCCTTAACTGGCACATTTTAACTAAATCACCTCTTTAAAGGCCCTGTCTCAAAATACAGTCACGTTTTGAGTACTGGTGGTTAAGGCTTCAACATAGGAATTTTTGGGGGACAAAATATAGCCCCAAACAATCACCTAGCATGAATAATCAGCTGTGAAGTTTGCAAGTTTTGCTTGTATAATAATTTGGTTCTCTTTCTAGTTTTATGAAGTATTCCTTCGACAGTCTCCAATGGAGCCCTGCCTTGTATTTCATGAAGGTGGATACTGGCGTGAGCTCATAGTCCGCACCAATAGCCAAGGGCACACAATGGCGATCATCACTTTCCATCCCCAGGAATTAAGTCAGGTGAGCCTTACAAGATGTTAAGCAATCTTAACTTTTACTACTACTAACTATTACTGTGATTGGGTTTTGGAAGTTTTAGGGCATATAGCAGAAACTGTATATCCACAGAATATTTGTGTTGATTGGGGAAAGGGGTGAGGGATGAGGAGAAGATGGCAAGGTTACTCTTTAACTGTACTGCTTGCATAATCAAACCACAGAGACTGTGGCTAGGCTACCAAGTTAATTGTCATGTGAGAACTCCAAAGTAATTTCACAAGAACTTTTCCCACAGTAGTAGTTGCTCTTCGAAATCCAAATGCCAATTCAATAGAGGCTGCAATGTCAGAATTTCATAACCTAAATAGTACTTTACATTTGTCATACACTTGGTGCTTTCAAACATACCTGTGTTAAAACATTCCTATACTTACGTGATCATCTCGGCAAACTTGTAAAGTAGGCAGGAGGAGAGATATTGTCACCCTCATTTTACACCTGAGGAAATGGAGGCATAGAAATATCCAAGTAGTTAAAGAATCAGTAAACAGCTAAGCTAGGATTTGAACCCAGGTCCTTTGATGCCTGTTTTTGTTTTTGCTTTTTGTTTTTGAGATGGAGTTTCACTCTTGTTGCCTAGGCTGGAGTGCAATGGCGCCATCTCGGCTCACCACAACCTCTGCCTCCCAGGTTCAAGCAATTCTGCTGCCTCAGCCTCCGAGTAGTTGGGATTACAGGCATGCACCACCATGCCCTGCTAATTTTTTTTTTGTATATTTAGTAGAGATGGGGTTTCTTCATGTTGGTCAGGCTGGTCTCGAACTCCTGACCTCAGGTGATCCGCCCACCTCAGCCTCCCAAAGTGCTGGGATTACAGGCATGAGCCACTGTGCTTGGTGCCTGGTGTTTTTAACCCTATGGTTCCTGTAAGGTTTATTGCGATAAATTCTGGTGTCAAGCTAATGCTTAGGCTTTCTGTAGTGATATAAGAATTTTATTTCTTCTTTTTATTTTTTCAGACAGGGTCTCAGTCTGTTGCCCTGATTGGAGTGCTCTGGTGCAATCATAGCTCACTGTACCCTCAAACTCCTGGGCTCAAGCAATGCTCCCACCTCAGCCTCTAGAGTACCTGTGACTACAGGCACATGTCACCACACCTGGCTAATTTTTTTTGATTTTTTTTCCCCCAAGATGGAGTCTCGCTCTGTCGCCCAGGCTGGAGTGCAGTGGCAGGATCTCGGCTCACTGCAACTGCTGCCTCCCGGGTTCAAGCAATTCTCCTGCCTCAGCTTCCTGAGTAGCTGGGATTGTAGGCACCTGCCACCATGCCTGGCTAATTTTTGTGTGTGTGTTTTTAGTAGAGATGGGGTTTCACCATCTTGGCCAGGCTGGTCTTGAACTCCTGACCTCGTGATCCACCTGCCTCAGCCTCCCAAAGTGCTGGGATTACAGGCATGAGCCACTGCGCTGGCATTTTTTTTTTTTTTTTTTGAGACCGAGTCTCACTTTTTTTTCTCATTTCTCCCAGGCTGAGTACAATGGTGCAATCTTGGCTCACTGCAACCTCTGCCTCCTGGGCTCAAGCACTTCTGCCTCAGCCTTCCAAGTAGCTGGGATTACAGGCACATACCAGCACACCCAGCTAATTTTTATGTTTTTAGTAGAGATGGGGTTTTACCATGTTGGCCAGGCTGGTCTCGAACTCCTGACCTCAAGTGATCTGCCTGCCTTGACCTTCTGAAGTTCTAGGATTACAGGTGTGAACCACCACGCCTGGCCTTTTTGATTTTTTTGTAGAGACAGGATCTTGCTATGTTGCCTAGGCTGGTCTTACACTCCTGGGCTCAAGTGGTCCTCCTACCTCAGCCTCTCAAAGTGCTGGGATTGCAGGTGTGAACCATCATGTCTGGCCCGCTTTATGTTAAGTCTTACTTATAGTAAGATTCGTGAAATGTCTTCATGTTTGATTACTGCAGGGCTGATTACTACAGAGCTTGGAGAGAAAATTTGTCAGAGATGAGTCTGTGCTTGACTGCTAATTTTGTGGTCTCGGCAGGAGGAGCTCCATGATCAGAAGGAGATTGTAAAGGAATTTTTCATCAAAGGTCCTGGAGCAGCCTGTGACTTGACCTCACTTTACTTTCAGGAAAGGTAAACCTGGGGCAGCCAAATAGGCTGAAGGCTTGCCAGACGCTTGGTTTGTGGATTGCTGATGCAGGGCTGCTGATTGATGGCGGAGGATATGGGCTAAGTGGTTTTGGCCCTTGTACAACCAGCTGGGTCTGAGAACCCAGGCCAGAATATAGATGTGAGAGTGTCCGCATAGATTTTCATTCCCTTATGGGGAAACTCTTGCAGAGCTCTCAGGGCCATGGTAAGGAGGCTGTGTCTCCTAGTTGAGTTGCTGGGGCCTCCCCATTGACCCCAACCCTAGGGATGTCATGATCTGCCATTTCAAGATGGTTTTCTTTTTTCCTTTTTTTTTTTTGAGAACGAGTCTTGCTCTGTCATCCAGGCTGGAGTGCAGTGGCACGATCTTGGCTCACTGCAACCTCTGCCTCCCAAGTTCAAGTGATTCTCCTACCTCAGCCTCCCGAGTAGCTAGGATTATAGGCATGCACCACCACACCTGGCTTATTTCTGTATTTTTAGTAGAAATGGGGTTTCACCATGTTGGCCAGCCTGGTCTGGAACTCCTGACCTCAGGCAATCGCCCTGCCTCGGCCTCCCAAAGTGCTGAGATCACAGGCATAAGCCACCGTGCCTGGCTCAAGATGCTTTCTTCCTTTATTCTTTTCCAGTACCATGACCCGTTGCAGCCATCAGCAGTCCCCCTTTGAGCTTCTGTTTGGGGAACCCTACATCTTTGAAGAACTTCTCAGCTTGAAGATTCGCATTTCTCCAGATGCCTTTTTCCAGATTAACACTGCTGGTGCAGAGATGCTGTATCGGACTGTGGGGGAGCTGGCTGGAGTGAACTCTGACACCATCCTTCTTGACATCTGCTGTGGAACTGGCAAGTGGCAGCCCAGGGCAGAATCTGCATGCTGCTCAGCTCACAGGGCCCTTATAGCTTGCAGAGGTGGTCAGGGAGTGGTAGTGGTAATGGTACAGGCATAACCTTGTTGGTCTAAAACCCTAAAATTGCAGCCAAGTGTAGTTGCTCACACCTGTAATCCCAACACTTTGTGAGGCAAGGCAGGAGGATTGGTTGAGCCCAAGAGTTGGAGACCAGCCTAGGCAACATAGTGAGACCCCATCTCTACAAAAATGAAAAATTAGCTGGGCATAGTGGCATGAGCTTGTAGTCTTAGATACTCAGGGGACTGAGACAGGAGGATTGCTTTAGCCCAGGAGGTCAAGGCTGCAGTGAACTGTGATTGTGCCACTGCACTTCAGCCTAGGCTACAGAGTAAGACTCTGTTTCAAAAAAACAAACAAACGAACAAACCCCCACCACACCCAAACCCTAAAATACCTTCTTATTCTCTTTTACTTCTTCAGGTGTGATTGGCCTCTCTCTGGCTCAGCATACATCTCAGGTCCTCGGGATTGAATTGGTGGAGCAGGCAGTGGAGGATGCAAGGTGGACTGCAGCTTTCAATGGTACACGGCTTACAGTCTGCGTATAAATTAAGGAATGCAATTGTTTCTGTGCTATGGAAAGAGTTGTGTGGGAAAGGGCAACTACTGTATCCCTGACCACAAGGAGGAAGGGAGGGAGTTCCGCAATGGTCAGAATGGTTTTCTGGAATAGGTACCAATATATAACTTTTTTCCTATCCAGAAGAGGAGCCTAAGGGAGGAAACATGTCTAGCTGATGGGAAGGGAAGTTGCAAAACTTTTGACAGAATAGAAGAAGAATCTTCTTGATGTTAGACTCATGAGGCCTTATAGCATAATACAGTAGGTTTCAAACCTATATTTTCAGCAACAAAACTTTTTCTTCAAACACAGCCTTCTGTTAAACTGCAATATAGAAAGTAGATCATCTCGCCCCTACTACTTCACCTCTGGAAAGCTCTTAAGGCACTTGGTGAAAATGTCTGATATAGCAGGAGGAGCACTTGAGCAAAAGTCAAGGTTCTTGTCTTGGTATACATCCTTGCATGCTATATGAGTTGTGAAGTTGTAAAATTACACTATCTAGTTGCTCAAGCTGAAAGGCTTACTGAGATATTCCAAGGGAAAGTACTTTGGAAAAAATGAAACGAGTTTATCCAAAAGCACTTCTTTCCTTGTTACTTGGAATGATGCTAGATCCAAAGGAAAGATAGCAGAGCACTTGGCTCCTATGCATTTCTGTGAAGCTGAAGCTTTCCCCTACTGCTGGGCTCGAGTTGTGTCATGTGAGTCTGTCTTCTACAGGCATCACCAACTCTGAATTTCACACTGGTCGAGCAGAGAAGATTTTGCCAGGGCTTCTAAAGTCAAAGGAAGATGGACAGTCAATTGTTGCTGTGGTGAACCCAGCCCGTGCCGGACTGCGTAAGGATGAAGAGCTATTTTGATGTTCCCAGTATTGCCCACCAACTTTGGTCCTTCTTTTCCACACCATGCTAAGGGTGCTGCAGTGGGCTAGCTCTGAACCTGTTTCCCCTCTATTTCTAATCAGTTCCGAGTTCTGGTCAGTTGGAAGTTTATGATAACGGAGACCATGGTAATTAATTATACTAATAGCAAGGTGTTTCTTCCTTCAGATTACAAGGTGGTTCAAGCCATTCGAAACTGCAGGGCCATCCGCAGGCTAGTTTTTGTTTCCTGCAAGCTCCACGGTGAAACCACGAGGAATGTCATTGAGTAAGTCTAGACTTCTTTTTACAATTCTTTGTTCTGATTATCAAAATCATTCATGCCCATTGTATACACAATTTGAAAGTGACTTTGAGGCCAGGCACGGTGGCTCAAGCCTGTAATCCCAGCACTTTGGGAGGCCGAGGCGGGTGGATCACGAGGTCAAGAGATCGAGACCATCCTGGTCAACGTGGTGAAACCCTG